GAGTAATAGCCCCACAGAACCCACTGGCAGGTTACGAAAACAACAGCTATGCTTATCACAAGATGAAAAGAAGTGTGCACAGAATAGGCCTCTGAGAAATGCTTTTAACCCTTCCCACTCCCTATCCTACTGTTGGCCTTGAGTTCAGTGTTCATGAATCAATGATATATACAGTAAATAAGATGTCTTTAAAAAGAAAACACACCGAACAAGGTAATGTACTGATGAGTTGACATAAGCGTTGTGACCAGAGGCTCACAGGAACCTAACCCTGTCACTGCCCCTGGGAGCAGGAGTCCAGTATTCTCTAAGTATTCTCTATTCTCCAGCATTCTCTAAGAATTCAGAAACTACCCAGTTTCTGAATCACCGACAGAACCACACAGCAAACCAGGCAGTGGAACTCAGTCCAGGGCATCACAAGCTTGGAAGGGCTCTCTGAGACCACCTGGTTCCCCAGCCACACGGGGGACAATGATGAGGGAAGAGAAGCAGCTGCCCGTGGTCAAGAGGCTGGTGGTGGCAAAGCCAGAGCCTCTGAGCAGGTCTCCGACCCAGAGTCCTTCGCTCATTCCTCCACTCGACTGTTTTCAAGGTGACCAAGAATCCCGCAAATTGCCCTGGGAGCTTTCCACCATCAACACCCTTGTTGCCTGTTCCCAGGGGCAGAGGGCAGGGCAGGGATTGGCAGGTGACGTTACAAGGCCATTACAGGTGCAGCGATTTCTCCGAGTCCTCCTACTGCAATGGCAACAGCTCAGACCACAGCGGAGAGGACGACGCGAGCTTCCCCAGTGCTCCCACGCACAGTGCAAAGCACGCCCTGCTCGGTGGGGTCACTAAGCAGGCACTTCCACCGTCCTGTCCATCTGTACCCTTCCTGTGGACAGCAGAAGACCTGGCTTCAGCCCTCTTTCCACTTCTCCTTAGTGAATCTGTAGAATCATTTCTTTCCTCTCAAATATGCAGGTGGCAGGGTTGCTCCACCAGGAGACACATTTTAGACACAATTACTATGCACAGGACTCATTCTCGGCTCTTGGAAAAGATCCTTCATGAAACCCTTTAGTCTCACCTCCAGCTGCAGGCTCCAAGCCCCGCCACTCCAGGCCCCTGGCCACCACACCGTTCCTGCCTGCTCCAGGGACTACAAGAGCTCAATGCACAGTCTGTCACCTCCCCATCTCCCCAGCCATGCCAGCTGCAATGCCAGCCCGCTGGGAAACCTCCCAGCCCCAACCCACTTCTCCCCATGTCCACAGCGCTTGGTTTGAACCTCAGTTATGATTTTTATTATGGCCTGTCATGTATATAGCTGAATATTCCTGTCTCCCACATCGGAGAGCCTTGAGGCCAAGGACACTACCCATTTGGTCTTTGTATCCTGCCCAGGGCAGCACCCACCACGTGTGTGCTCCAAATAGACCCCAGGGCACGTGGAGAGACAAAGGCTCTGTGGGAAATCATGGAGCAGGCAGAACCGTGACAAGAGGATGCCCGGTTTCCAGGAAACACTAACACTTTCTCCTGTCGTTCTCAGCACTTCCTTTGAAGACCCAAGATTAAAACCGCTCCCTCTTGTGGCAGTGAGGAAGCCCAGGGCCTGGGTCCAGGTGTGGGGTTGGGCCAGGAGTAGGTCATGCAGAGGTAGCCCCTGGCAGCCTGGCCTGGGCTCTAGAGAGTGCACAGGCCAGGAGGGGACTCTGGACACAAGTGCTCCCGGTCCAACTCAGCTCCTCATGAGTAGAGCACGCACCTTGTGGAGTTGTCAGGTAAAGAAAGCATCGTCTTTCCCCTCAGGTGGGCTACACTGGACAACAGCTCTTCCAGACTCAACTAGAAGCATGGCAGCAAGGGTCATGCTTGCAACACTCCTCTAATCTTTTAACCAATTACTTCGTCTCAATCAGCATACATTTGGTCTTTCAGCAAAACCCTAAAAGGCTCACTTGGGCTTCATGGTCCTTCTTTCTTGACGTTGCATGGGACGGGGCTCGTCTCTGTTCACAGGCTTCCTGAATGACTGTGTCCATCACTTGTAAATGTCATGGGAACCGCTCATCTTCCATCTCCCTGGGCCCACCTTCAAACCCACCTGGCTCGCCACAGGCCTGAACTGTGGCCACTGCCTTTGTACGCAGGCACAGCCGACTCCTGGAGGCACTACTGTCACAGGGGACGCCTGGCGCTCTGCCCTGGTGCACCTGAGTCGGCACACTTTCTTCCAAGGCAGGTGGCAGAGCCGGCCGGCAGAAGTGAAAGTCTTTCAGGAAATACCAGAAGGAAGGAGTAACTCCGAGCGCCGGGAGGACGGTGACCCCGACCACTGTATCCTAAATGCTGAGACAAGTTCCTCTTAAATTCCTCTTAGAAGTCCAAGTGGGGGGTCCCACTGGGCAGCTGGGGCAAGCCAAGAACATCAGGCAGATCAAAGTACTTCTGGAAGACTGATCCCATCCAAAGTGCACCACAAAGCGTCAAGGTTGCAAACCCAAGGACACCCCTGTGCAAGGACGTGAGGGCCCCAGGAGTGCTGGAGCTGCTGCGTCACTTGTGGCCACCCTCTGGTGCTTCTGGCTCATTTCCCGGGAGCAGTCCCCTGGCCCTTAGTGCTCACTCCCCCAGGGGTCTCCAGCCTCCCAGATCTCGCCCCTCTCTGCCCTTCGCCCAAGCCTCTGGTGTGCATGCACAGTGTCCCCTGCCCGCACCACACAATGCTGTCACCTTGCAGTTGGCAGCCACCTCCCACGTCACCTCCCACACGGTCCTCAGCAACACTGGCCCGCCTGGCGCCCCACGCACTGCCTGCCTTCCCAGTTGATCTCCAGCCAGGCTCTGTCTCTGTCCATGGCTCTGCTTCCAGCCTTTTGCTCACCATTGTCACCGGCCACTCAAGGAGGGAACCACCCAAACAGTGCCCCAGACCACCACCAGCCTGGGCAGAAAGCTGGGGGGCTTGGCTCTGACAGCGAACGAGTAGCCTGCACGAGCCCTGGTCAAAGGCCAGGCACACTGCGGGCAGGTGGCTGTATGGGGGCAAGGGGCCCCTTCATTGCTGAGGGGACAGCTGTGAGTCAGCAGCTCAGAGGGAAAGGACAGTGGCTCCATACTGGAGCTTCCAAGGAGGGGAACTGGCACGCTGCATGACCGTCCTACTTAGCCAGCCTCCTTCCTAACACTCTCTAAACTGTGCCACACGACTCTGAACACCCGCATGATCTGGAATGCCCAATGGTGTCAGTCGTCTTCTCAGGGACTAGCAAGGGCAAGAAAAGAAGTGCCAGTGCCACACTCAGGCCACGAGGACAAACGCCACTACCTGGGCTGGGCGCGGTGGCTCACGCCTGTAATCCTAGCACTCTGGGAGGCCGAGGCGGGCGGATTGCTCAAGGTCAGGAGTTCGAAACCACCCTGAGCAAGAGCGAGACCCCGTCTCTACTATAAATAGAAAGAAATTAATTGGCCAACTAATATATATAGAAAAAATTAGCCGGGCATGGTGGCGCATGCCTGTAGTCCCAGCTACTCGGGAGGCTGAGGCAGGAGGATTGCTTGAGCCCAGGAGTTTGAGGTTGCTGTGAGCTAGGCTGACGCCACGGCACTCACTCTAGCTTGGGCAACAAAGCGAGACTCTGTCTCAAAAAAAAAAAAAAAAAAAATGCCACTACCTGAGTGACGACACTTCACCCCAGACACCTGGTGCCCTGTTTAACCTAAGAGGGCAAAGACAACCTCAGCGTTACAGGACAGAAAAGACCAGATGGCATCAGAGTCCCCAGTTCAAGATCCCAGCTGCCACCTGGTACCCACAGGGTCAAAGTCAAATGTGAGTGAGTTTCCTGGTCCAACAGCAGAGGTAACAATGCTCCTTTCATGGGTCGCTAGAAGGACTGAACGAGGCTAACAGACAAGAGCACGTGCGGCCCAGCATATGGCACGCGGCAGGCACTCGATAACCTCCAAGGACAATGGAGCACGTCCCTCAGGTGGCACCTGCAAGCCCAAGGACACGCAGGCGTCTGGCAGGGGAGCTGCTGCTCTCCCAGCGCTGGTGGAGGCCACGTGCTTTCAGGAAGTTCCTAGTAAAACAGGAAGTAGCATGTTCTCCCAGATCATCTCACGTTAGCCCTTCTATTTCCAATCTAGGGTTCTGAATGACCCTCTTTACTAAATTATTGCTCTTTAAAGAGACTTTTTATAGCTTTTTGTCTCTGCAGAAAGGTGAAGCTGGATACACCCTGGCTCATAAGAATAAGCAGAGTGACAACACTGCTGACACAGTGCGGAGACGGGTGGCTGTGCAGAGGAAGTGCTGCCCAGGGGCTGGGACACGGGGCCCTCCTGGCTCCTTGGGCATCTCTCGCACATCTCTCCGTCCTCTGGTCTTGCTGTGGTCACAAACAAGGCAGAGCCCAGGGCTCTTGGCTCCTTCCTGCTTTAAGGTGATCTGACCGTACAAATCAACATACCCACAGATCGTGCACAGGAGCTCCGTCACCTGCGCTGGTGACAGACACTCTGTGCAGCGGGGAAGGTGGAAGGGCTGGGCCAGTCTTCTCAGCTCTCCAGCCCTGAGGAGACAGCGGACGAGATGCAAGCGGCTGTTCCAACCTTATCCTCACCCGCCCCATAAGCTAAGCCACTTCCACAAGGTGACTTCTTCAAAGAGGCCTGCCTGCGGCCGAGGGGCAGGGAAGGCAGTCGGTGCTCGGGCAAAGAAACGACCCGGAGCAACGCCAGAGCTCAACTGCCCCAGAACACAGGCGGCCCTCCACAAAGACAAGTGAGATGGAAGCAGAAAAAAAGAGTACTGATTTTGTAGAATGGCCACTGGTCAAGGAACAGACACACCTCCACCTGCCCCCCCCATCCATGGCTGAACCCCAGCAGGCGTTCGGGAAACACCTCCCCCGCACTGCTGGGCCTTCGCAGCCTGCCCGGAGCCGCGAGGCCCTGGGCAGCGTGCCACGCTGGGGCAGGCGACGAGACAGAACACCTCGCAGGGTTTCTCCAATCAGGTTTATTACTCTGAGCAAAAGCTGCCCACAAAATCCAGCGGTCTTCAAGTTTTATTTTTGCATAATTACACAGTCTGAATGACTAGCTCACAATCCCAGGCAGTTTTATAAGTTTTGCTCTTCAAAATGACGTTACTGTGGTGAGGGAGGGGGAAAGTCCTGACAGAGAAATTACATCGATGAAAACAAAATCCAGAGTGATTTGCTGGTACCAGATTACAGAGCGGTTCTCAGCAGGCAGTCCCCCCACCTCTGCAAGCAGAGGGGACCAAGAACTAAAAATATCCTAGGAAAATCAGCCGCACCTGCAACACACGCTCACATAAAGGCCACGCCTGTAAACTATTCACATCACCCCGGCTGCTCAAACGGGAGAGAATTAAACACAGGGCTAAAAGCTGCTGAATCTTCTCACTTCTTCTTATTCTTTGTGGAATATAATTTTTCTTCAAGTGGGACCGGGATGATCCCTTCACACTCTTTTACTTCCTGGGTCAGAGGGTGTTTTACGATATTCGGTCTGATCACATCAATGTCTCGAGACAAGTGCTCCATCATGCTTTCAACAGCTGTTGTTGGTGCATAAAAATCCACCAAGAAATACCTGCAACAGAATAAAAATTTGTGAATGCCTGCATTCTGAAACATAATAATTCTACCATTTTGGTCAATGTTTCCACTCATTCTTCCCAGACAGACATCAACTACACCCAAACACACCCTTGTGCAAACAAACTACCAGCTGACCAGCTAAACAGAAGTGCCATAGTTTGCCCGATCTCCCTTTTCCTATGGCCTTTGCCATTATTCTTGTGAAAATACAAATCCAAACGAATGCATGGAAGCAGAAAAACGTCGTGACACAACATACAGTGGGAATGTTAGAAAGCCTGGGGAAATTATGGGTGCAAGAACAGAATTTTCTAACGCATGGGTGTGATTGAATTTTCCAAACCATCAGGTGATTTTTTTGTGTGTGTGAAAACATCTATTAAGTAGTCTTCTAATTTTCCGAAGGATTTTATACATGATCTCATGTACCTAAGAGATACGACAAGTACCATGAGCCCCACTTCACAAACAAGGGAAAAGATTAAATAAGAAAGGCACAGGACTCATCTAAGACTACACTGTATGTTCAAGACTAACAAAGAACAATTACAAAAAAAAAAAAATTACCTGACCCTTGGATACGACAAAGAATGTTCAGGCTCACCTGCTCAGAGCAGACTCACGCCCACTGCGCTCGCTGGACCATTCCAGCAGCAGCCGGCTGGATGGCGACACAGAGAAAGCAGCAGCTTCTTCCCCGCCCACCCCTCCTCTCAGACTGAAAGGCGCAGGCCTCCCTTGCACTGTTTGACTTGGACCACCGCATGGCTGAAGTTTTCAGCGCAGTGTTTCAAAATGCTGCCCCGTTCTAGCTGGCAAAGATGATCTTTTTGACACCACTTGCTACGTTCCAGCCACACCGTTCTCGGGACACCCAGGCACGTCCCCAGGCTGGGCCTCTGCGCTGGCTGTTGGCTGTTCCTTCAGCCGGAAACGGTCTTTGCCCACATTCGGCACAGCGCACCGCTCACTTCCGCCACCTCTCTGTCCAAATGTCGCCTTCCGAAGAGGCCTTCTGTGACCACTTCTCCTCAAGCAGCTCCCCCCTTGCCCCACCCGCAAGCCCCATGACTCCCAGCTCCCTCACTCAATGCTTGAGTTTGTTCCCCACAGCACTTTGCCACCAGGCGCACCGCCCACCTTTGTCACCGTGTCGCCACGCTAAGACGTAATGGCTCTGCTGCCATCCCCTGCACCCTGAACAGAGACTAACACAGAAAAGGCCCAGGGTAAATCTCCGACAGTGTTGGTGTCACCATGAAATGTGGAATTTTCAAAGAATGAAGGAAAACCAAATTGAACAGGAACAAATTCAACAAGAAAGAAACTATAGTAGAAAAGGGATGGCATCTTGCGTAATTCTGCACAAAGAGCAAAACAGGTTCAAAACTTCTAAGAAAATTTCCTGAGGACCATTCACTCTTAGGCAAGCCTAGTAGGGAAATCATTTGAGTAAAGAAACAATTAAAACAAAATGACAGAAAAATATTTAATATATATCAAACAAAAACACTAATCAAAAGAAAGCTCAAGTGTCTATAGCAATGTCAGACAAAGTAGACTTCAGAGCAAAGAAAATTACCAGGGACAAAGACAGACAATGCATAATGGTGGGTTCACCAAGCAGGCACAACAAATCTTAAACGTGCGTGCACCAGATAGCAGAGCTTCAGCCAACAGGAATTAAGAAGAAAACTGAACAGAGAAATAGATAAATCCATGATTACAGCTGGAGCCTTTTAACATTCCTCTCTCAGTAATGGACAGAACTACACAGAATCAGCAAGGAATACAGAAAAAGTGGACACCAACATCAACCAACTGGAAGCGACATGTTCAGAACCCTTTACCCAACAATAACAGGATACACATTCTCCTTATGTGCACACAGAACATTTCACCAAGGTCAACCATATTCTGGGCCATAAAACAAGTCTCAATAAATCTAAAGGGATTCAAGTCATGCTGAAAGATCTTGGGATAATCCCCAAATACTTGGAAACTATATACATATCTAAATAACCAATGGACTAACTGGTTGCAGAAGAAATCAAAAGGGAAACTGAAAAGTACTTTGGATTGAATGAAAAACAAAGCATTTATCAAAATTTGCGGATGCCACTGAAGCAGTACTTGGCAGGAAATTTAGATGCACTAAAAACCTAGGAAAGAAACTGGAAAAAGAGCAAACTAAATCCAGTAAGAGGGAGGGAGGGGGGAGAAATTCCTAAAAGCAGAAAAAAGAAAAACAACAGAGAATATCAATGAAACCAAATATTAAATACTAGTTCACTGAGAAGGATCAATAGAATTAATACACCTCTAGCCAGACTGGCCAGTGAAAAAGAGGTAAGATACAAATTACCAGCAACAGGAATGAGAAAGGCGAAATGACTACAAGAGGACAGTAGGAAATATTATGAACAATTTTTGCAATAAATTTGATAGCTCAGACAAAATGGTCAAATTCCTTAAATAATACAAACAACCAAAGCTTATTCAAGAAGATACAGATAACTTGAATAGCCTGTATCTGTTAAAGAAATTAAATAATGTAGTTAAAAACCTTTCCACAAAGAAAACTACAGGCTCAGATGGCTTCGCTGGTAAATTATACCAAACATTTCAGGAATAAAAAATCGGTTCTGACACAAAGTCATCCAGGAAATAGGAAGACATGTCCTGATTTGTTCTATAAAGCCCGCCATTACTCTATGTCAAAACCAAAGAAATCACAAGGAAAGAAAAAAATCAGACCGACATCCCTCACGAACATAAATGAAAAGGTTCCAAACAAAATTTTAGCCAACTGACTACTATAATATATAAAAAGGACAATTCATCATGACCAAGTAGGGTTTATCCTAAGAACACAAGATTGGTTTAACACCATTAACAAACTAAAAAAGAAAAACTATACCGATTGTTTCAACAAAGGCAAATAAAAGCATTTAACAAAATCCCATAGCCATTCCTGATAAAAACTGAGCAAACTAGAAAGAGAAAGGACCTTCCTCAAAAATTATAAAGGGCATCTTTGAAAAACCTATAACATTTCCCCAACTGGTAAAATCCTGAATGCTTCCCCCAAGACTAGGAAGAAGCAAGGAGTCACTGTCACTTCTGTCTGGCACTGCACTGGAGGCTCTGGCCAGCAGAATAAGACAGGAAAAAGAAAAGGAATCAGAGTGATAAGAAACAAGCAAAACTGTCTTTATTTGCAAGCAACATACTTATGTATAGACAAAACATGAAGAAATTTACAAAGAACTAGAACTAAAAGTGAGTTTAGCAAGGTTGTAAGATACAAAATCAATTTTATTTCTGAATACTAGCAACAAATTGGACCTTGAAATTAAATATAAAATACTTAGGAATAAATCTGACAAAAGGTATGTAAGACCTGTGCATTAAAGACTACAAAACAGCACTGAAAGAAATCAAAGAAAACCTACATAAATGGAGAGATATATCATGTTCATGGGTAGGAAGACTCAAAATTTAGATGCCAACTCTCTCCAAATTGGTCTATGGATTCAGTAGAATTTTAATCAAAATCTTAGCAAATTGATTCTAAATTCCATATGGAAATACAATAAACTTAAAACAACTCTGACAAACAATGTAAGTTATGGGACTAACGCCACCTGATTTCGAGACTTATTACAAAGCTATAGTAATCTAGATGGTATGGTATTCTTTCATGTAAAGATACACAGATAGATCAAAAGAAAAGAGTCAGAAATAGAGACCATACATACGTGCACAACTGATTTTTGACAAAGGTATACAAACGCAGTTCAGCAGAGAAAAGATAGTTCCTTCAACAAATGGTGGTAGAATTACCCAGTATCCACAGGCAAAAAAGTGAACTTTGCTCCATACTTGTACCATATAAAAAATTAACTCAAAATGAAACACAGATTTAAATGTAACACATAAAGCTATAAAACTTCTAGAAGAAAACATAGGAGAAAGCCTTTGTGGCATCAGGTTAAGCAAAGAATCTATAGAAACAATACCAACAGCAAAATTCATAATAGAAAACGTTGATAAATTAGCCTTCATCACAATTAAAAACTGCTTGCTCTTTGAATAAAAAGACAAGCCACAAAGATTTATGAATTACATGTCTAACAAAGGACTTGTCTCTAGAATATAAAGAACTCTCAAAACTTAATTAAAAAAAATAATTTTAAAACAATGGGCATTAAGATTTGAGTAGACGTCTCACTCAAGATATACAATGGCAAAGAAGCACATGAAAAGACGCTTAAAACCAGTAGCCATTAGAGAAATGATACCTACTAGAATAGCTAAAATTAAAAAGACTGACCATACCAAGCGTTGGCAAGGATGCTGAGAAACTGACATTCTCATCCACTGCTAGTAGGAATGCAAACTACACAATCATTTTGGAAAAACAGTTTAGCATTTTCTTAAATAAACATACACCTGCCTTTATGATCAAGCCGTTACACTCCTAGGCATATTTACTCAGAGACTTTAAAGCATGTGCTCACAAAACCTGTATACAAATGTTAATAGTGCGGTTGGTTACCTGTAACAACCCGGAACCGGAATCTACACAGATACCCCTCAACATGTAAAATGATAAACATACAAAAGGGTGGGGACCTTGTGGCCTTGGGGCCACATATGGCCCTCCAGATTCCTGAGTGCAGTCCCTTGACTGAATCCAAATGTCTATACAATTTGGATTCAGTCAAAAGGCTGCACTCAAGGATCCGCAAGGCCACATGTGGCTGTGGCTGAGGTTTACTCCATCCCCACATGGCGGTGACCCTCAAAATAATTATGTTGAGGGAAACTAGGGTAAAAAACCTATATTCTGTCTGATTCTATCTACATAAAATTCTAAGAAACACAGCTGTTTTTTGACTTACAGGGTCAAATGTCCTGATAAACCCATCGTAAGTTGAAAATATCCAGAGTTGAGACACATTTACTACACTAACCTAACCTCTCTTA